AGATGTCACTCTTTTCTCTCCACCCCAGGCTTATTCTGCTGGAGGGAACGACCCGGTTCTGCTCCCCCGGATCTCTAACCCAGTGTATTTTCACACTCAGGCTTGGCTGACGTGCAGGCTTAGCCTGGGGTTTTGAAACATTTCATCTGCTAGAAGGGGCTTTTTGGGGCTGTTACCGAATTCTTAGGTTGGCCTCAATCTGCTCGGGCAGACTCGCAGAGGTCAAAATGAAAATCATGGTCGCGTACAGCAACATCTGAGCCAGGCAGTGGTTGTCATTCATCTGAGCTGAATTTATTCCCAGTATAAGGATAACTCTTACCTAAGGCAATAAATCTTCTCTAAGGTAGTGGAGCTCTGCCCCCTTGTACACAAAAAAAAAAAAAAAGTGCAGGTGGATGCTGCAGATTAAATTTTAGGATAATTCCATCTGCTTTTTCCTGCTCTGGGACTAATCCTCAGCAATAAGGATCCTCGGGGGGGTGAGATGCATCCGGGGGGGCTCACTGCTTTGGGTCAAACACAGCTCACGGTGGTGTGGCTGGAGGGGGTTGGAGGAAGGGGTGGAAAGGTGTTTGCTGTGGGAGCGTGCGATGTTCTGTCCCGGTGTGGGGACAACTGCCGCGCACCCCGGTCCCTTCTCCACAGCTCAGCGGTCGCGAAACATCCACGAGCTCCCCAGCATCAGCATGGAATTTGGAACACTTTCTGTCCTGTCCTTCAGATGTGGTCAGGATTTATGGGGGAGTTGCAGGGGAATCTAGAAATACTCACTGGAAACTTTCTGCCCTGTGTTAACTTCTCCAGTAGTGGGGAGAAACAAGTTCAAACTCTGCCCAGGGGTCAGCCGTGGGCTGCTGGAGCTGGAGTCTGTGGGTCCTGTCTTCTCAGCTCAGGTCCTTTTGAATTTTTTGGGTTTACTTATTTTTATTTTTTTTTTATCCCCCCACCAACATGAATTCTTCTAAGTATTTTGGGAGCGGTGCCCCAGTGCACACTTGGCTCAGCTGCTCCTACAGGTCAGTGCCTCCAGCCTGCCAGGCACGTCCCCACTCCTCCTCCTCTGCTTGGGTTTCCCCACGGACTGGGGATTCCGCTTCTCAATCCTGATTTTGTTTTGGTTTGTTTTGTTTTCCAGACGAACGCTAAACGAGGTGGCTCCCCCGTTCCCCTCCCACTGCTGTGTTTGTCTAAGACTTTCTTCCTTGCAGGAGCTGGAGGGATTATGTTCAGAAAGGATGAATTAATGATTTTTGTTGTTGTCGTTTCTCTTATTTACCCTCTCAACGCTTGTCTCCCCAACCCTAATAACCCCCAGCTTCTCAAAGCACCCAGCGGGTTGCCTTCCAGCCTGGAGGAAAGAAGGGGATGTTGTTAATTCCAGTTCTGTGTCCCTGGGGTGGGACAGTGCTCAAGTACAGCCTCTGCTCGTGTCCCTGCACCGGCATTTTTGTCCCGTTTCTCTCTGGCTCTGGAGCTGGAAGGGATGGGAGTAGTGCCTGGAAGAGGAGGAGGATGATGCCTTCAGCCTCATAGGGTGAGGTTGCTGGCAGTGGCCTGAATAACCATCTCTTTTCCCAGTTTTCCTTCCCTGCAGCACCAAGAAACTCGAGTCCTGCTCGGTGCGGGGGGTTTGCAGAGTCCCCGCGTCACTCCTGTCACCCGGGGCGGTGGGTTCCCTCCTCCGTGGGGACGGAAACGGGGCCAATTACACCTTAATTAGAGCTGGCATACAGAGCTGTGGCAAACTTCAAAAGAAGCTCTTGGCAGAGCGTTGCACCGCTCCCTGCCCAACGTGACTGGGGTTTGTTTGATGCGTTTAACAGCCGGAATAGTCAGGGGGTTGTCTGGAATGTGGGAAAAACCCCGTGGAAGCGACGTGATCGTCCCCCTGTACTGGGCACTGGTGAGGCCTCACCTCGAGTGCTGTGTCCAGTTTTGGGCCTCCTACCATAAAAAAGACATTGAGGTGCTGGAGTGGGTCCAGAGAAGGGCGACAAAGCTGGTGAGGGGTCTGGAGAGTAAGTCTGATGAGGAGAGGCTGAGGGAGCTGGGGGTGTTCAGCCTGGAGAAGAGGAGGCTGAGGGGAGACCTTATTGCTCTCTCCAACTCCCTGAAAGGAGGGTGTAGAGAGGTGGGGGTCGGTCTCTTCTCCCAAGTCACAGGCGACAGGACGAGAGGAAATGGCCTCAAGTTGCGCCAGGGGAGGTTCAGGCTGGATATTAGGAAAAATTTTTTCACTGAAAGGGTTCTCAGGCATTGGAATGGGCTGCCCAGGGAGGTGGTTGAGGCACCATCCCTGGAGGTGTTCAAAAGACGGGTTGATGTAGTGCTGGGAGGTCTGGTTTAGTGATGATGCTCCTTGTTTGTTGTGTGGGTGTCTATTTTTGTCAGTTAGGTTGACGGTTGGACAAGATGATCTTTAAGGTCCCTTCCAACCTAGAAGATCCTGTGATTCTGTGGCGGCTCTTCCCCGTGGAGCGGAGGGGCTGGAGCTCCCCTCACCCACCCCCAGCTCCCGACAGCCCTGGTATTGTTGCTGCAGCTGGTGTTGTGAATCAGGCCGACGACAAGCGCATCCGACTATCCGGCTATTTCACTACACCAGGGTTGCATCATACCACTCGCGTCGCTCTTCCTCCCGGCTTCTGGAATCTTCCTTCCTCTCCCGCCCGGAGCAGCCTTGACCCCGCGCTGTGTTGGAAGAGAGACACCCCCTGTTGAAGAGACGCCGCCGTTCCTGCTGGTTTGGGCAAGTTACAAGAGTTTGGGATGAAATAAAAGAGGTTGTAAAATAAAGCCGTTCCTGCTGGGTGTGAGTCTGCTGCTGGTTCTGGTGTGGTGAGAGGAAGCTGGTGTCACCTTTGCTATGGTCTGAGGAACCCACAACAATTTATTGCCATGTAGACAATTATTCTGTCACCTGATGACCCCTCCCCACCCGGGAAGGGGAATCAGGAAAAAACGAGGAAACAGGGGGGTTGAAATATAAATAGATTTAATAGAATGAGAGTAGATAATTAACATTAATAACACTAAAGATCCAGTATTGATCTCGATATCGGTATAAGACACAAAAGGAGTGTCCCCATCCCGTTCCACCCCAGGGACAGCCCATGTGGGACACTGCCAGCGGGAGGAAGGGAAGGGCTCAGGGCTCCGGCACCGGGGCAAGGAGTTCTCAGGATCCCTCCATCAAGGGAGAGGGAGAAAACTCCTCAGCAAACTTTGTAATTTATAATAAATGTGGAGTGCTGGTTTGGGCAAGTTAAAAGAGTTTGGGATGAAATAAAAGAGGTTGTAAAATAAAGCCGTTCCTGCTGGGTGTGAGTCTGCTGCTGGTTCTGGTGTGGTGAGAGGAAGCTGGTGTCCACCTTTGCTATGGTTTGAGGAACCCACAACAATTTATTGCCATGTAGACAATTATTCTGTCACCCGGTGACCCCTCCCCACCTGGGAAGGGGAATCAGGAAAAAACGAGGAAACAGAGGGGTTGAAATATAAGTAGATTTAATAGAATGAGAGTAGATAATTAACATTAATAACACTAAAGATCCAGTATTGATCTCGATATCGGTATAAAACCCAGGAGGAGTGTCCCCATCCCGTTCCACCCCAGGGACAGCCCATGTGGGACACTGCCAGCGGGAGGAAGGGAAGGGCTCAGGGCTCCAGCACCGGGGCAAGGAGTTCTCAGGATCCCTCCATCAAGGGAGAGGGAGAAAACTCCTCAGCAAACTTTGTAATTTATAATAAATGTGGAGTTCATGGTATGAAATAACCCCGTTGGCAGCTTGGGCCAAGTGCCCGGGTCTCGCTCCTCCTCATCCCCACTTGTGGGAAGCTCCAAAACACCCAGACCTTGAACCCCACACCCCAGAGCTGGCTGAGAAGGGAATATTATCCCCAGTTGAGAGGCTGGGGCCTGTCCTCAGCTCCCCGGGGGCGCGGGTGCGCGCCGGCCCTTATGCAACGGCGGGCGGCGTCTGCTCCAGCACAAACAACACAAACGAGTCCTCAAAAAGCAGGTTAAAATTCTTGCCCCGGTGCAAAAGGCAGCCGGAGGCGGGGGGGGGGCGGGGGGGCAGCCCCGATTTTCCATTAACTGGCCAAGCTGAAATTCAAACTGCCCTCCAATCTTCGGCAGATCTTATCTGTAACTGCTGTGAAGGGCACATGTGACACCCAGCTCTAAGTGACACCCATGTCCCCCCCGCCGTGGGGTGAGCCCTGAGCGGCAGCGTGGCCTCCGCTCCTCTTTTATGTGAATGGGTGGATTAAATCGGGCATATTAAATAAAATTTGGTGGAGTTTTCAGCCCTGGGTGTGCAGGGGTTGGGGCGGGGGGGCTGTGGGGAGGGTGGGCTTCGCTGCTGCCAGCCCCGGGCAATCAGGGAGGGACCGTGGCTGCCACCGTTCAGTGTCCCTTGGCCACTCCATCCCACTTCCCAGCCCCCCGGCATCCCTCCCATCCCTCGAGATCACACTCCCACACCTTTCCCCCTGCTTTCGTCCTGAGAATAAAGGGTTTTTTTACCCCTCCCCGTGTCTCGGTGCCGCAGGCAGGGGCAGCCAGGATTTATGGGACCTGCCAGCTCCGGGGGGGGGGCAGCATCCCAGGGAAGGGGGCGAGTGCGTGGGAGCCTTCCTCCCATTTTCCATAATAAAAATCCCGGTGGGAACTGAATGTTCCTGGGTCGGGGCCGGAGGCGAGCTCCGCGCCGCATTTCTCTGCTGCTCTTGGCCTTGGGACTTAATCTCAAACCCGTTATCGCCGCCCCCATCGGGGGCTGGGGGGGGCAGCCGGGCCCATTAGGGTGAGGTTTTCATATCCCTTCCAGCTATTTTATTTTATTTTTTTCGCCTTTTTTTTTTTTTTTTTTTTGATTCCTTTCCCCCCCCCATCCCCCCCCACGGCGGAGGGGGGGTGCCCTTTGCTGGGCTCCGGTATAAATCCCCGAGGAGCCCCCTCTCTCCCACCCCCCCGTCCCCGCAGAGCCATGGCCGAGCTGCCCGTCCCGGAGCTGCCAGCCGCCCTGTCCCGCTGCAGCGGCCGCTTCACCATCAGCACCCTCCTGGGCACGGAGGAGGGTGGCCGGGGTCCCTACACCCCCCCCGAGGGGGCCGGCTGCGACAGCCCCCACCCCACCCACCTCTCGGGCAGCACCCTGGGCACCAGGACCTTCGGCTACAACACGGTGGACGTGGTGCCGGCCTACGAGCACTACGCCAACAGCAAGGTGGGGGGCGATGGGGGCAAGGGCAGGCCCTCGCTGGCGGATCTCCACTCCATCCTCAAGGTAAGGTGGGCTTCGGCCACGCCGCCGGCACCCCCCACCCCTGGCTGGGCCACCACGGGGGGTGGTGGCATCTCCCACTTCTTGGTGCCCTGCCCAAGAAGAGATGACAGGATCACGGAAGGGTACAGGTCGGGAGGGACCTTGTGAGGTCTGGGATCAGAGAATTGTGGAATGGTTTGGGTTGGAAGGGACCTTCAAGACCATGCACCCTGGGCAGGGACACCTCCCACCACACCAGGGTGCTCCAAGCCCCCTCCAACCTGCCCTTGAACCCCTCCAGGGATGGGGCAGCCACAGCTTCTCTGGCCAACCTGGGCCAGGCTCTCACCACCCTCCCACCAAACAAGTTCTTCCCCACAGCTCAGCTCCATCTCCCCTCTTCCAGGTTAAAACTGTCCAACCCCCTGCCAGAGCTGGTCCACCTAGAGCAGGTCCCACAGGAATGTGTCCAGGTGGGGTTTGAATGTCTCCAGAGAAGGGGACTCCACCACCTCCCTGGGCAGCCTCTGCCAGGGCTCTGCCACCCTCAAAGTGAGCAAGTTCCTCCTCACGTTGAGATGGAACTTCTTATATTCAAGTTGGTGCCCATTTCCTCTTGTCCTGTCCCTGGCCACCACTGAAAAAAGACCAGCCCCATCCTCCTGACACCCTCCCTTTGAGTATTTATAAGCATTGATCAGATCCCCCCTCAGCCTTCTCTTCTCCAGACAAAGAAGACCCAAGTCCCTCAGCCTCTCCTCATCAGAGGGATGTTCTAGTCCCCTCATCGTCTTCGTAGCCCTTTGCTGTTCCCACCCCTGTGCTTGGCTGGGGCTCTCCCCCACCACCTGCCCTCACCTCCTGTTGTCCCCTTGTCCCCGCAGCCGGACCCAGGCCGTCTCCACCCGCCGGTGTCCGACCCGCAGCGCAGCAACGGCCTCCCCGAGGAGGCGCCGGGGGAGCCGGGCAGAGCCCCCCAACCCGAGCCCGTCCGCTTCGGATGGGTGAAGGGCGTGATGGTGAGTGCCACTGCCCCCATGGGGACCATCCTCCCGCCCTCCCACCCCCCGCCAGGCAGGGGGAGGATGCGTGTGCTCCTCATCCTCACATTTTTCCCTATATATATTTATATATTTTTCGCAAGGAACTGGGCCCCCCTGCCATCCGTGGTGAGTCTCGGAGGAGCAGGAGGGGGTAGCGTGGCCCCGGTTCCCTTCTCTATGTGTGTTTGTCCCCCCCCCAGATCCGCTGCATGCTGAACATCTGGGGAGTCATCCTCTACTTGCGCTTGCCCTGGATCACCGCCCAGGCAGGAATCGGTGGGTGCACGGCGGGCAGGATGGTGGCACCGGGCTCACCACCCCCCAAAACACCTTGAGAGGGGAAAGGGGGGTGGTGGCCACACCGGTAGCGTGGAGGGTGCATCCTTGGGGGTCTCCCAGGGAAGCCGGAGGGGTTCTATGGGGCTTGGGGGGGGGAGGAGGAATGAAGCGGTGCCCTCTCCCTGCAGCTCTGACATGGCTCATCATCCTGATGTCCGTGACGGTGACCACCATCACCGGCTTGTCCATCTCCGCCATATCCACCAACGGCAAAGTGAAGTCAGGTAGCACCTTGTCCCCTTCCCAACGCGGGCTCTGAGGTGCAGGGGTGGGGGGCCCGAAAACGTGAGGATTGGAAGCAACCAACACCATCGGGTGCTCCTGCCACCGCAGGGGGCACCTACTTCCTCATCTCCCGGAGCCTGGGGCCGGAGCTGGGAGGATCCATCGGGCTGATCTTTGCCTTCGCCAACGCGGTGGCCGTGGCCATGCACACGGTGGGCTTCGCCGAAACTGTCCGGGACCTGCTGCAGGTGAGAAAGCGGTTCTGTGCGTCCTCGGGGGCCTGTCCCCCCCACCTCCCCCCCCCCCACCTCTTTCCCGCACGAGTTGCATTAATTATCAACATTTATGTTAACGTTGGGCCACCAATAATCAATGGCCGGCCATGAAAACTCGTGGCAATCCCGGTGGTTGGGTAAAGAGAGGGTTCTTTCCACCTTGTGGATGGTTTCCCCTCCTCAGGAGCACAACTCCCTCATCGTGGACCCCACCAACGACATCCGCATCATCGGGGTCGTCACCGTCACGGTGCTGCTGGGCATCTCCCTGGCCGGCATGGAGTGGGAGGCCAAGGTAACACTGCCTTCTCCCCCTCACCTTATTCCCTTGGGCTGATAAGAGCTGTCCCTGATGCCCACAGGGCATCCAAGGAGTGGAGGGTGCCCATAACTCCCTCAAAACGGGTGAGGGTTTCTCCTAGTGTATCCCTTCACCTTCTCAGCTCCCAAACCCCAACCCCTCAGCCGGCTCTTTCTGGTCTGGCAGGCACAGATACTGTTTTTCCTGGTCATCCTGGTTTCCTTCATAAATTACCTGGTGGGGACGGTGATCCCAGCCACCGCCGAGAAGCAAGCGAAGGGCTTCTTCAGCTACCGAGGTGGGTCTACCACGGGTTGGGGTTACACTCAACAGGTCCAAGTGCATCGGTGGAGCCTGGCTCTTTGCTGCCTTTGGGGGAGAGGTTTGCTATGGGAAGGTGCTCCTCACTGAGAGATGGCCTTAAATGCCCGGCGTCTTCCTCCCACCGCCCGTGGTGTGCCTCCATCCAGCGCTGAGCTGCTTCAGCCAGGAGAAAGGCGGTTGGGAGGCCCCAAATGCTTCTCCTCTGCTTCCTCCCCAGCCGAAATCTTCGCCCAGAACTTCGTGCCCAACTGGCGTGGACCCGAGGGCTCCTTCTTTGGCTTGTTTTCCATTTTCTTCCCATCGGCAACTGGCATCCTGGCTGGGGCCAACATTTCAGGTGACCTGAAGGTGGGTTTTGAGCCTCGCTGCCTGCGCCGGTGTTTCTCAGGGCTCAGGCCCTCTTTTCCCCTGGGGCTTTGGTTTTGATCCCACTTCTAGATCCTTATTTTATTTCTTCTGGAAGCTTTGGGGAAGGCTCAGCCGGGAGAGTCTCTGTGCTTTAGTGTGGCCATGAATTAAAATCCCTCTTGCGTAGCAGCCCCAGTTAAAAAGCCATTTCAGCGGTGCCGCTGGAAAGCTGTCTCACATCTCTCTGTCCCTCCCTCGGGCAGGATCCCGCCGTGGCCATCCCCAAGGGCACCTTGATGGCCATCTTCTGGACCACCGTGTCCTACCTGGTGCTTTCTGCTACCATCGGTGAGCAAAACCTCGCCCTTGGGCAAGACGAAAAGGGGTGGCCTGGGAGGAAGGGGGTGGTGGCAACCCCAGGGCAAGTGCTGCGGGGGCCAGACCTTATTCCTGCCTCCATGGCGGGGGGAGAAAGTCCTCCTGGGTGGGCAACACAGCTTGTGGCATTGCTCGTAGCCACCGTGGAGCGGGGCAGCCCCATGGTGGGCAACGGGGATGTGGGGCTGGGGTGTGTGAAACTCTGGGGAGATGCCGGTCCCGCTCCGGGAGGTGAGTGGGTGCTACGTGTGGTGTCCCCACCACCTTCACCCCCCTCCATCCCCCAGGTGCCTGCGTGGTCCGGGACGCCTCGGGCAGCCTGAACGACAGCGTGGGGCTGGGGTCCCCGGGCTGCGAGGGGCTGGCCTGCCACTACGGCTGGAACTTCACCGCCTGCGCCCAGCGGCAGAGCTGCCGATACGGGCTCAGCAACTACTACCAGGTGCTGCTGGGGGGCCACCACCCATCCCTCCATGTGTCCATCCATCCCACCTCCCCCCCATCCCTGCTCCTGGCCGGGTTTGTGCTCCGAGGGGTGGGTTTCCCCAGGGCAGCCCCCAGCATCACGGGAGGGGATTAAACACTATTAAACACCATTAAAACACTCGTGCAATGGGGACGCACCAGGGAGCACGTTTTCCTCTGGCTTTTGGAGGTGGCTGGACTTTTCCACCCGGAGAATGTGGATGGAAAAGCCCTGAGGGCCGGGAATCCCTTGGAGCTGGGGTGGAGGCTGATGTGGGGGGAAGGGGGTGGGTGCATGAGTCCTGACCCCCTGGTTTTTGGGGCAGAGCATGAGCATGGTGTCCGGATTCGGCCCCCTCATCACGGCGGGGATCTTCGGTGCCACCCTCTCCTCGGCGCTGGCCTGCCTTGTCTCAGCCCCCAAAGTCTTCCAGGTAAGGGGGGTGGCGTGTCCGTGTCCTCCAGCTCCTGTCCCCGAGCCCGGCAGCGGGAGCGGGTGATGCTCCTGGGTGTCACACCCTGGGCAGCAGATGTATGACCACGGGGAGGGGACACGCTCAGCGCTGAGGGGCTTCGTGGCCATGAGCAGCCCTGGGGCAAGGAGGATGCCACCGGTGGCAAAGGCAGGAGGCCAGTTTGGCCCTTGCTCTTACGGGGTCTGATGTCCCACGTCCCCCGGTGAAGTCCACAGTCCCCAACGCGTCTCTCCCTGCAGTGTCTCTGCAGGGACCAGCTCTATCCTCTCATAGGCTTTTTCGGGAAGGGCTACGGGAGGAACAGCGAGCCCATCCGTGGCTACATGCTCACCTACGTCATCGCCGTCGGCTTCATCCTCATCGGTGGGTCCTTGGCACCCTCCTGGTGGCCGCCACCAGCCGGGTGGCTCGGTCCCCGTTGCCGACAACTCGCTCTCCTCCTCCTCCTCCCCGCAGCCGAGCTCAACGCCATCGCCCCCATCATCTCCAACTTCTTCCTCTGCTCCTACGCCCTCATCAACTTCAGCTGCTTCCACGCCTCCATCACCAACTCCCCAGGTGGGCTGTGCCGCACTGCACCGTGCCACCGCCGTGCCATGGGGCAGGGGGGTCTCCCCGTCCGGCCCCCCATCCCGGCAGCGGCCGCTGTCTGTGTTTGCGTGCAGGCTGGCGACCCTCCTTTCGGTATTACAGCAAGTGGGCCGCCCTCTTTGGGGCCGCCATCTCGGTGGTCATCATGTTCCTGCTGACCTGGTGGGCAGCCCTCATCGCCTTCGGCATCGTCATCTTCCTCCTGGGATACGTCCTCTACAAGAAGCCGGGTGCGTGGCGGTCACCCGGCCCCGGCCATGCCCCAGGAAGGTGGCTGACCCCATTGCTAACCCGTCTTTCCCCATGTAGATGTCAACTGGGGCTCCTCCATGCAAGCCAGCTCTTACAACATGGCCCTCAACTACTCAGTGGGGCTGAGTGAAGTGGAAGAACACATCAAGAACTACAGGCAAGGATGGCTTGGCGTGGTGCTGGGCATGGAGGAAGAGAAAGATCTAGGGGTCCTGGTGGACAGCAAAATGACAATGAGCAAGCAGTGTGCTCTTGTGGCCAGGAAGGCCAACAGGATCCTGGGCTGCGTAGGGAAGAGTGTGGCCAGGAGGTGGAGGGAGGTCATTCTCCCCCTCTGCTCTGCACTGGGGAGGCCACAACTGGAATCCTGCCTCCAGTGCTGGGCTCCCCAGTTCAAGAGGGACAGGGAACTGCTGGAGAGAGTCCAGCGTAGGGCAACAAAGATGACAGAAGGATTGGAGCATCTCCCTGATGAGGAAAGGCTGAGAGAGCTGGGGCTCTTGAGTCTGGAGAAGAGAAGGCTGAGGGGAGACCTTCTTAATGCTGACAAGTATCTCAGGGGTGGGTTGAAGGAGGAGGGAGCCAGACTCTTTTCAGTGGTTCCCAGTGACAGGACGAGGGGCAACGGGCACAAGCTGGAACATAAGAGGTTCCACTCAAATATGAGGAAAAACTTCTTCACAGTGAGGGTGGCAGAGCCCTGGCAGAGGCTGCCCAGGGAGGGTGTGGAGTCCCCTTCTCTGGAGATTTTCAAGCCCCACCTGGATGCTCCTGAGTAACATGCTCTGACAAGCTCTGGGCAATCCTGCTTCAGCAGGGGAGTTGGACTAGATGATCTCTATGGTCCCTTCCAACTCTAAAAACTCAGTGAAATTCAGTGAAATTCAGTGAAGGAGGATGTAGAGCCAACCGCCACCACCACCAGCAAACCCAGGATGGCTTCATGCCACCAGCCACGTCCTCACCACCAGCCTCAGTAACTGGGAGCCCCAGCAAAACGTGGCTGTCTCCAAAATCCCACATCTTTGCGTGTGGGCAGAGGGAAAGCGGGGCAAACCTTGCCTTCCCCGTCCCAGGCAGATGCGTTGGTCTCACCTGAGATAAAAAGATCAACGAATGAGGCTGGACCCTCAACCCCGTGATTTCCCAAAGATGCTCCCACTGGCCAGCCACGGGAGAAGAGACGCAGCTCATTTCGGAGAGACTCGGTGTCTCCCAAATTCCAGCCTTCGCCCTTTCCTCTCCCCCTCTGCAGACCCCAGTGCCTGGTGCTGACAGGCCCTCCCAATTTCCGCCCGGCCCTGGTGGACTTCGTGGGGACGTTCACCAAGAACCTCAGCCTGATGCTCTGCGGCAACGTGCTGATCGTGAGTCACCTCCCAAAGACAGTCGGTTCCGTGTCCTGGGGGCTCCGGAGGCTGGGAAATCCAGATGTGTCCTAGTGGGCCCCAGGGGTCAGAACATGCACATTTATGTGCCACCTGATGATGAAATGTGTCATCTGGAAGCTTCTCCAGCTTGTTAAGCAACACTGATGAAGCAGCAGGATGTCTGTGTGGGCTCATGGCTTCCCCTGGCCAATTAATTGCCAAAGAAAAGATGAGGTGGGATGAGGGGGTTGCTCAGAGGACAGGGAGGGTCCTGCAGCCCTGAAGGCTCAAGAGCAACTGGGGACGTGGTGCAGCAAACACCAGCTCGTCCACAGCCATGGGGCTGCTGGCACCGTGCGCATTGGCTGTTGGCTCCCAAATTTGCTGGTTTTCTTGCTGTGATTGAAACCATCCATCAGTTCTTGCCGATGATTTGGGAAGAGAGGAGCTAGTTGTCCTTGGTGGCAAAACCAAAGGGAAGTATGGAAGCTGGAAGGGGTCGTCTGTGCTTGAGCCCCTTCCCCTTCTCTCCCCAGGGACCACGGAAGCAGAAGATGCCGGAGTCCCGGCTGACGGCAGATGGACACACCAAGTGGCTTACAAAGAGGAAGATCAAGGCTTTCTACACAGATGTGGTGGCTGAGGATCTGAGAAGTGGTGTCCAAATGCTCATCCAGGTAGAGCCACCTTTGGCCATTGATGGTCAGGTCTTCCATCATGGTTTGGGGACCTCTGACCCCCCCCCCTTCCTGACCTCCGGGTACCCCCCTTTGCATCTCTCCCCCATGGGCTGGTGCCACCCGTGTCCACCTGTCCCTGCAGAGGGGTCTCACAGGGACATCTCTCCATAGGCTGCCGGCCTCGGGAAGATGAGACCCAACATCCTGGTGCTGGGCTACAAGAGGAACTGGCGGACGGTGTCCCCACAGAGCCTGGAGGACTACGTGGGCATCCTGCAGTATGGCCACACTGGATCCTCTGCCCCTGGGGACACCCGGTGGTGGCCCTGTGGTTGGGTGTGGGGACACTGCAGCCACATCTTCAGGGTCTGGCCAGGCTGGCAGTGCCACCCAACACGAACGGGCCACCATTAACTGCCTTCTCCCTCCTTCCAGCGACGCCTTCGATTTCAAGTACGGCGTGTGCTTAATGAGGATGAAGGAGGGGCTGAACGTGTCCCGAGTGATGCAGGCTCATGGTAAGGGGCTTCGGGCAGCCGGGGGTCCTCAGAGAGGCGCTGGAGCTGTGGGACGTGCCCACCAGCACCGTGTCCCCAGGCCAAGGTGACACTCCTGGGCTGGGCCCGAAGGGGGACGGGGACAGCAGGGTGCTGCCCGTCCCCTTCTCCTCCCTCCCCAGTGAACCCCACCTTCGAGGCAGCCCAGCACCCCGAGGAGAATGGCACCGGTGGCAAAGCAGCCCCGGGCACAGGTTGGTGTGCCAACCTCTTGGGTCCACCCAGAGCATCCCCGGCTTCCAGGATTATTTTTGGGGTGCCACCTTGGCAGGCAGGGCCGGGGGTTTCAATGGGAGCAGGTCCAGGGCCAGGAGAAAGCCGTACCTTTAATCCATGGCCACCAGTGCCCCTCACCGACGCCAGAACCCTCTTGCCCCAGCAGAAGACCCTTGCCCAGATGCTTCGCCCAGCGAGCAGCAGGCCAGCACCATCTTCCAGAGCGAGCAGGGCAAGAAGACCATCGACATCTACTGGCTCTTTGACGATGGAGGTAACCTTCACCTTCAGCTGCTGTGGTTCCTCAGCCAGCTGTATGTCCAGCACCTCCACCGCGCTGCCCAGGAGGGCTCGGTCCTCGCTGCGTGGTGACGGGTCACCACCGCCACGTTCTCCCATTTTGGGGACAGGTCTCACACTGCTCATCCCTTACCTGCTGGGGCGCAAGAAGCGGTGGGGCAAGTGCAGGATCCGGGTGTTCGTGGGCGGGCAGATCAACAGGATGGACGAGGAGAGGAAGGCGTAAGTGCTGGTGGCCTCCTACAGCCCCTCTTAGCCCCGTGGCCACCGCCGCTGTCCCCGTGGGCGGGTGGCATGAGCCACTTCCCCCCGCCTGGAGCCCTCTAGGCTTTGCCGGAATGGGTCTTTGGGCTCCGACCTGGCTGCTTTGTCACATTCCTCTGAAAATCAATGGGGTTTTTGGGGCAGGGGAGAGAAAAAGCCAAGTGCAAACGGAGGAGGTTGGCGGGGGTTTCTGTGGGGACGGGTCAAACATGTCCTTTTCCCTCCAGGATCGTCTCTCTGCTCAGCAAGTTCCGCCTGGGCTTCCATGAGGTCCACATCCTCCCCGACATCAACCAGAAACCCCGGCTGGAGCAGTAACCGTCCCCCTCCCCTTGTTCCCCACCCCCACCCCATCCCCAGCACCCCCAAAAACCCGCCCGGACCCCCTTTCCCCGGCACCATCTGCTTGTCTTGCAGCGTCAAGAGGTTCGAGGACCTGATCGCTCCCTTCAGGCTGAACGACGGCTTCAAAGACGAGGCCACGGTGAACGAGATGAGGCAGGGCTGTCCCTGGAAGATCTCTGATGAGGAGGTCAACAAAAACAGAGCCAAGGTAGTGCCGGTGCCAGGGAAGGGGTCTCCTGCTTTTGAGGCAAAAATCCAGCCTTTTTTTGGCAACAACTGTGTCACACGACAACCCTCTCTGCCCCGCAGTCGCTCCGGCAAGTGAGGCTGAACGAGATTTTGCTGGATTACTCGCGGGACGCGGCGCTCATTGCCATGTAGGTGCCAACAACACCCCTTCCTCGCCCCATGGACATGGTTTCCCTGGATGTTCCCCATCCCAGAGAGACACCCCACCGGGATGGTGAAACACCGCAGTGGAAAAAGCCCTTGGAGGGGCACCGAGGGGTCTGTGGCCACCGAGGTGGGGGCAGGATGTGGTGCCACCCCTTTTTTTTAGGGAAATAACCCACAAATCAGCATGGGATTGGGGCTGAGGATGGAGCTGGGGTTGGTCCCCCCCGCCACACTCACCAGCCCCTCGCTGCCCCCACAGCACGCTGCCCATCGGCAGGAAGGGTCGCTGCCCCAGCTCCCTCTACATGGCCTGGCTGGAGACCCTCTCGCAGGACCTGAGACCCCCCGTCATCCTCACCCGCGGCAACCAGGAGAACGTGCTGACCTTCTACTGCCAATAAAGGCTCCTGCAGCCCTGCCCGCTCGGGACGTGTGGTTTTTTCAGGCCAGGTTTGACCTCGGACCACGCTCGCCCGGGGGGGCCTGGGGGAGCAGAGAAGGTGTGTGGTCACCAGCTCTCGGGAAACCCTCTTACAAAGACGTGTTTTGCCCATCTCAGCCTTTGTAGGTTGTATATAGATAGATGGATGTATAGATATAAGCACAGGAAGGACACGGAGCTGTTGGAGCGGGCCCAGAGGAGGCCACGGAGATGCTGGGAGGGCTGGAGCCCCTCTGCTGGGAGGGGGGGCTGAGAGAGTTGGGGGGGTTCAGCCTGGAGAAGAAAAGGCCCGAGAGAGGCCTTGGAGCCCCTTCCAGTCCCTAAAGAAGGGGGGCTCCAGGAGAGATGGGGAGGGACTCTGGATCAGGGAGGGGAGCCCCAGGAGGAGGGGGAAGGGTTTGACCCTGCAAGAGGGGAGATGGAGCTGAGATGTGGGGAAGAACTTGTTTGGTGGGAGGGTGGTGAGAGCCTGGCCCAGGTTGCCCAGAGAAGCTGTGGCTGCCCCATCCCTGGAGGGGTTCAAGGGCAGGTTGGAGGGGGCTTGGAGCACCCTGGTGTGGTGGGAGGTGTCCCTGCCCAGGGCAGGGGGTGGCATTGGGGGGGCTTTAAGGTCCCTTCCAACCCAAACCATTCTGTGATCCTATGATTCGATATAAAATAATGCAGGTTGCGTAGCCCAGACATTGCTCTGGGCTGGGTTTAGCCAGAGCCATGCAGGTGAGGTTGGGGTCCCATCCTGAGAGCAGCGAGGGGACAGTGGGACCCCCAAGCCACCGTCCCAGGGTGAGAACCCCAGCACCGGGCCCAGGGGCTGCAGGGATCCCACATGTCCACTGGGGAATGGGGACTCCCGTCCCCAAAACAAGCAGAGCCAGTCCCCAACAGCCAACGGGGGTGAGATGTCCCCTGGGGCTGTGGTGCCCAGCTGCAGGCGCACATCCAACCCTTGATGGAGACAAAACTCACCACCAGAACCAGGGTATTTCCTGGTGGAGACAGCCCCGAGTGGGAGCAACCAGCCCCGTGCAAGGCAGGAGCAGAGCTGGTTTCCAAACACACGACCCGGGCTCCCTCGTCACCCCACAGGAGAAACACACAACCGCTTTCACCTCCATCTTTACAGAATTTACTGATAATCACCACCAGGATTAGAAGTGTCAGTAAAAAAATAAAATTTACAGAGTTTTCTATGGTACAAAGATTTGTTCACACCAGGCGCGGTCGTTAGTGGGAGGGGGAGTCGGGTGGTATCTGAATGAGAAGAAAGCAGGGCCCCCCATGTCTTGGTGTCTCAGCTGGAGCAGCGACGTCCCCCCCGGGGCAGGGACCTTCTCTGCTCCTGGCCGGGGGGGTTTGCAGCGCTGCCCACCCCCGGGACACCTCGGCATGGACATTTTTGCAAGCTCTTGGCAGCTTTTGGCAAGTCTGACTTGAGCAAAGTCTGCCGAAACCTGCTAAAAACCAAAGGAATTGCTCCTGCTCAGGATGAGGAACACAAAGGGAAGATCAAAGCGACGGGGAGGAAACCACCGGCAGTGACCGATCTGGTGCATGGACTCAAAACCCACTCCTCCTTCCCATCTGGATCTGGTTTTACCAGAGAGGGAGGTCAGGAAGGCAGCCAGGGGAGTGCAGGATGCTCCTTGAGGTGACAGCAAGACCTCTCCCCAGCGCTAACACCTGTCACAACAACTCAGCAGCTGATTTTTCACCTTTTATGCAAGAATTCCCTGAAAGTCCCCCAGCGCCTGGGCACAGAGAGGCACCCACCGGCTCCAACCACTCCGCTTCCAAACACTGGCTGAGCTGCCAACTCTCTTCAGTGGAGCAGCACCCCATCTCAAAAATTACTTTGGGAGATCACAATGGGTACAAATCAGGAGGTTTTTGCTTTGCCCAGCACCGAGTGATTCTATCAAGCGATTATTTTTTTTTTATTTGTTCTGAGCACAGCACACGGGGCGCTCCGAAGATCTAGGGTTTAGGATACATTACAACCCTCGGACCTCACCCACCTAATGAGAAGGATTCACATTAAAATCTTTCCTAAAATGCACAGCTTTATTCCCGGAATTAACACGGGCTAAAATTTCGAGCCATCATCTCAGTAAGTAGCTCCTGAAAAACACCTCTCTCCGTCACCCCTCCACAGACCGCTCCGCCTAAGTTAATGTAAAAAGAGAAATCCTTTTTCATGATTAACACGTGGCCCTGTCGAGGGTTGTTTCAGCTCAGAGGACGTGGGGTTCACAGAAGATAACTGGCCTTACGAAACGTCGCAGGTAAAAAAGGCGGAGCTGGTTTGGAAACCAAAGGAGTTGGGCAAAACTCCAGCTGGGAGTTGTGTCCTGGGAGGCTGGACACAGCCAGCCCCTTCCCTCGGCAGCCCACGCGACTGCCTGCTGGCAATAAACAAGGACCATGGCAAAAGCCACCTCCTTGGGGTACAACATCTGCCTCCCCACACCCCCCCCCAAAAAAAAACCAAGCCCCCAGAAAGCACTCAGCCAGCTATTTGGGAGCCCCAGCTGCAGGGCGTGCCTCCGGGCAACAGGGCAGGTCTAAAAGTTAGTTAAAAATCACTTAAAACCAAGCGAACTAAAACAATTAATCAGGAGAGAGCACGCTGCCTGCTGGCAAGGGTTGCTCTGGGGCTGCGGTGACACGGAGTGTCCCTGATGGACACGGGGATCACCCGGGGTTCCTCCCCAATCCCACCCCACCAATGTAAACACGATCAGCGAGTAAAGGGAGAAGTTCTAAAAACACGAGGCTCCCGCAGAGCCCGAGGAGCAGCAGCAGCAGCAGGAGCAGCGCAGGGTCACACACGCACCCCAGGATTTCTAGCACAGGCTCTGCTTCCCCTCTCAGGCAGGAGGAGCACAGCGCCAGGAGAGTTCCACCGTCATAAAATTCACAAAATCAGTGACCCTCTATGCTCTGGTTATTCTCTCCTGCTGCAGCGTTCATAGTCACAGCTCTCGGCCACAAATTTGCACTTTTCTGTTCTTCGTCTAAAACGATTTTTCCTTTGGCTGCTCCCAAATTCGCTATGACCGAGGCCTGGCATGAGGAAGTTGGGGCCAGGAAGAAAACAAATTCATTTTCTCATTTGAAAAAAAAATAAAAAGAATTCACATTAAGAGAGCTTCAGGTTCACTGCAAACAAAGCAGCAAGAGGTCAACGCATTAAGTGAGCTCCGGAGACATGACATCACCCCGTGGTACTGTTTCTACCCCAAAACGGGGTGTGTGTCACATCTGAGTAACCTCTTGTTGCTACAACTCAGCACTGGTGAAAGACACACGGGCCTCCTCCTCCTCGGCCTCAGGAAGCCATTTTCCTATCCTCCAGAGAAATAAAGTTTCACTTGGCACTTCATGTTACAAAAAAGTAACAAAATTCACAATGTTTAGCGCATTTTCAAGCCAGGCTGGAGGCGGGAGCAGGCCTGCACGGGTCCTGTAACCAGTGGAGAATCACACGCTCCTCGAGTTGTGCTCCCTCCTCGTTTCCTTCAGAGATGGCACCGGCGGCAGATCCTTTGTTTTTCCTCCGATTCGGGATCTCCGGCGTCCGAGGAAGAGCTAGAGAGTGGCTAAAATGCGCAGAAACGAAACCACCACCACGCAGAACGTCTGTCCCACTCCTAAAATGAGGGCTTCAAAGGGAATCATTTTTTTCCCCGCAGCTCTGTAAACTCCAGCAATGGCAGCACCTGCGGAGAGGGGCATGAGAGACACACACTGTGGTACCAGGGGGACGAAGGGGGACATCCTGGAGATTGTGAGACTGGGGCAGAGCACAGGAGGGTCTGTGGGAGAAGGCCCCAAACCCCTGCCCACCGGCTGGCAGGAACTCTGGACTGGGTTTACCATGAGAAACCTCTGCCAGTAACCAACGCTTGCTGGTGGCAGTAGGTAAAATCGGTGGAGAAACTCTGCTGAGGCCTCCAGAAGGTGTAGAGGTTGGAGTGGTTTTGGACATATTCTCGTCACAAGATCCTCTACACCACAGCCCACATGCTGCAAATATTAGTCAGTTCTGGGCACAGAAACCAAATCTCTGTTTTTTCTCCCGGTGCTTAGAAACCTGAAAGGCCACCTGGCTCTACACCTGCCAGGCACGTGCAGTGTCCCCAACAACGGGCTGGAGAGGTGGCATGCTCCACCCCATTGTGCTCAGGTTTGGGCCCCTTTGCTACAAGAACGACACTGAAGTGCTGCAGCGTGTCCAGAGAAGGGCAATGGAGCTGGTGAGGGGTCTGGAGCACAAGTCTGGTGAGGAGAGGCTGAGGGAGCTGGGGGTGTTCAGCCTGGAGAAAAGGAGGCTGAGGGGAGACCTCCTCGCTCTCTCCAACTCCCTGAAAGGAGGGTGCAGCCAGGGGGGGTCGGTCTCTTCTCCCAAGGAACAGGCCATGGGACAAGAGGAAACGGCCTCAAGTTGTGTTACCAGAGGTATAGGATGGGTATTAGGAAAAATTTTTACACTGAAAGTTTTATCAAGGAGTGGAAGAGGCTGCCCAGGGAAGCAGTGGAGTTACCATCCCTGGAGGAATTTAAAAGCCAGGCAGACGTGGTGCTGAGGGACGTGGGTCAGTGGTGGTTTTTGTCAGTGTTGGGTTGATGGTTGGACTCGATGATCTAAAAGGTCCCTTCCAGCCTGGGCAGTTCTATGATTCTACTCTATGAACTATCACAGAATCACAAAATGGTTAGAGTTGGAAGGGACCTTAGAGATCATCGAGTTCCAGCCCCCCTGCCCTGGGCAGGGACACCTCCCACCAGACCAGGTTGCTCCAAGCCCCCTCCAACCTGCCCTTGAACCCCTCCAGGGATGGGGCAGCCACAGCTTCTCTGGGAAACCTGGGCCAGGCTCTCACCACCCTCACAATGAAGAATTTCTTCCTGGTATCTAATCTAAGCCTCCCCTCTTCCAATTTAAAACCCTTACCCCATGTCCTGTCACTGCACTCCCTGACAAGGAGCCCCTCTCCGATGAATAGAACCTGAACATTCATCTCCTCTCGACCCAAGGGAACCCCACGGTTCGCTACGCTCCCGAAGGCGACCTCTGGTTCTGACAGAGCCACCCGGGTGCTATTTCCGAGCATCTACCGTACTTGTCAGGATGCCGGCGGTGATGGGTCCCACGATGCCCATCAGCAGGAGGCTCACGGACATGAACCTGCCGTACTTGTGATGCCTGAGGGTGAAGAGCGCTAGCAAAGCGGCCGGGACGTGGAAGGAGAGGGAGGAGACCAGGGCCCAGAGGAAGACGCCATACCACATCTCTGCGGAGAGAAGGACGGTGAGAGCAGGCTCGGGGCCGACGGGCCTGAGGGCCCCGCTCCGAGCAGGCCCCGCGGCGGGGAAGGGTACCTGGGAAGGTGGAGAGCGGGCTGGAGTAAGTGGTGGTGCCGTTTCCCACGCGTGGCACCAGGCGGAGGCTGAGGATCTGCTGCAGGAGCCCCCCACCGCCGCCCGCCTCGCCGCCCTCCATCCCCTCCCTGGCCCCACCGCCGCCATCCGCCGGCTCCCCTTCCGCCCGGCTCCCCTTCCGCCCCTTCCAGCCAATGGGAAGCGCCGCAGCCGTGACAGACAGCCCTCTTCACCAACCGCCGCTCGTCGGGCCGCGCCACGCCACCACCCCCCCGCGCTGCCATGGCAACGGCTGTCAGCCGCAAAGGCTGCCGGGAGCCCGCAACGCATCCGGGGCGGGAGGGGCGCTCTAGCCCTCTGGGCGGACTTCTCCTCGCTGCTCCCCGGCCTCCGGCGCCGCCTCAGCGGGCGCGGCCGCCTCCCGCCCCGCCAGGGGGCGCCGCGGCACCGGCGGAGACGCTCTGGGCGGCGGCGGGGGCGCGTGAGGAGGAGGCGGGTGGGGGGGTAGAGGCGGCGGGCGTGAGGCGGCGGTGGCGCCGGCACCATGTCGGGCTCGGAGGAGTACTCCTCGGCCGAGGACGAGGACTACGTGCCCTCGGGTGAGCGGGGGCGGGCCTGAGGGCCGGGAGGGGGCGGCGGCGGTGGTGGTGCCCCCGGTGCCGGTGCTCACCGGCTGTGCTTGCAGGTGCGGAGTACAGCGAGGACGACGTGAGCGAGCTAGTGCGGGAGGAGGAGGCGGCCGAGAGCCCGCGGCCCCCCCGCGGCAGGAGGAGCGCCCGCCGCCCCGCCAGCAGGTACGGCCGCCCCCGGTTCCCCGGGTTGGGGAGCGTTTCCGTTGAGCTGGGCCCGGCCCCGGTGTTCAGCCGCCGCCCGGGGCTCCTTCCGCGGGGAGGGGGGGAGATAAGGCTTCCCTTCGCTCCGGCTTCGCGTCAGGGGCAGGGACCTTCGGGCTTGAGAGATGCCAGACCCGGAAACCTTCCCCGGGAGCTAGTTCTTTTCCTTCTAATAAGCCTTTTTAGGTAAAACCCCACTTTTCTCTGCCATGTATGTGGAGTTTATTTTAAATTGGTTCCTATCCTGCCCAAGTTCTCCTCCCCTGTGGTTCCTACAGCATCCCAGAGTCCATTATATACTTACAGATAGCGTGTGAGGCCTCTTCAGGGGGCTGCCTGCTTCCGACCGGCTGTGTCCTCTGAACAGCATCATCTTGTAATTAATTAGCTTCACCCCCATGATTAGGGGAATCCTCCCAGTAGAATGTCTTAGCAAGAATACAAAGTACCGTGTTGCTTCACCCATGCTTACAGTTCAGCTCTGTATATATCACCTTAGCACACACATATATATATATATATGTTTTGTTTTGGCAGCTGCTTCTAGGAAGAGGAAGAAAGGACGTCTCTTGCTAGAGCCAGATGGGAAAGAGGAAGAGAAGGCTCAGCAGAATGAAGAGGAGGAGGAGGAAGAGGACAATATAGAGCAGGTGGAAAGAAACAGAGAAGAAGAAGAAAAAAAGAAAGAGGATGCTCTTTGGGCCAGTTTCCTTAGCGACGTGGGACAGAAACCCAAAGCGGTAGCTGCCACGCAAGTGACACAAGGGAAGAAGGTAATGGGGGCCTGGGCCTTTGCTCAGGGAGTGTGGGAAGGGCCTGAAGCTTTCCAGGAAACGGCGTCGGTTCTTACTGGTACCAAATGTCAGTCAGAGCTGGGAAGGGGCTGGGATCACTCCTGGTTTCCTTCCAGCTGGGGAGGTCTGTGATCTGGCCGAGCTGGTTGTCAGCGTCTCAGGGTGCCCCACGGAGCCCCATTGGTTTCTCTTCCCGGTCCTGGATTTTCCTTGTGACGTAGGAGCAGCACAAGTGAGCTTCGTCTGAGCTGTGCTTGTGGGCACAGCTCTCCCCCGGGACTTGTGCCTTTCCTGATGCTCAGGAAAGGGGAAACTCTGTGTGTGTGAGTGGGGATGGAGGAGAGACCTGTGCTGACACGTCTGGGCCTTCCTCCTTGAACAGTGAGGGGATCTGGAAGATGCTGCATGTTGGGATGGACTTTTGTAACGGGAATGAATCTGGCTTTCTCTAGTTTCCTTTATAAACCCCCACCAACGTGCTCTCGCTCTCTGTCTGAGGAAAGAATTCTGTGTGTAATCAGCCATTTGAAAGGATTTGGTTCTTAGTAAAACCAAATGCATGCATTTGCCTTGCAAAACCTTTCACGCTGAAGGTGGTAGAAGGGAAGAAGGTACCAAAACTGACCCCCTGTTGCTAGGATTGTCTTTTTTTTTTTCTTTTTTCTATGTGGTCACCTAAAAAAAGTATTTTGTAACAAAAGTCTGGCCTGTTGGCTCAGCGATGCCTGGTGAGTACAGTTTTCCTCCCTGTGTGAAGCTTCTTTCTGCAACGGGTGGAAGGTTGCAGAACAAGTGCGGTCATGTAGTCTTTGCTTGCAGACTTTGAGAAGAAAGAGTCCTCTCTTCTGAACCCTCCTGCTTTTCTCCAGCTCGGTAGTTACTGGCTGAGCAGCTGAGATGGTTACAGGTAGAATTAGAGAGAAGGAGAGAGGAAAAGCTCTCTCCTGAGCAATTCTGCTTTTATGGGCAGATCCTTACAACGTGAATGGTGGTTGAAAGTTCCTCCGTAGCCCAGAGTAATTTCTGGAGAGACGCAGTTCCTCTGTTCTCTTTGTGAACTTCTTGATCTGGACTTAGGATGCCTGCTTGAAGATCTCTGTGGTGTGTGGTTGCTTTAGAGCAAGAACTTTGGGTTTTGTTTGGATTACTTAAAGGTTCTGAGGGTTTTATGTATGCTGTTAAAAGCTGTAGTTGTGACGGAGTAAATTAAGAGGCGTTGTTGACATACAGCTTAATAAAGATACTTCCCTCTCAAATTAAAGAGACCTTATTGACAAGGAGCTTACTATCTTCAGACTTCTCTATGGAGATCAGCTTTGCTTTTCCTGCTGATGGGTTGTGTTCCTCTAGATTCTTGAATAAAATTTAAGATATTTCTGTGTAATCCGTCCCAGCGGTTTTACTGCCTGGTGGTGTTTAGTTTGGGAAAACTGAGTCTTGAGGCTTTTGCTTGCTTTCTGAACCCCAGCGGTGTATTCTTGCTGCTTCCTAGGTCTGCTTGGCTCCACAGATGCATTGTTTTGCTTTCTCCTTCGTATGTTTCACAGGCTGAAGGAGACAAGAGCGGGAACAAGCTTCAGGAGAAACCAAAAGAGCCTGAGAAGCCAAAAGATTCAGGAAAAGTGACAATCACCAAAGTGTTTGATTTCGCTGGTGAGGAAGTCAGGTAAGTTGGCAGATGTGACACATCTGCTGCGGGTTCGGTGCAGCCTGGAGATGTGCTCTGAAGCACGGGATGTCTTCTCCTTTTTCCTTCATGCTTTTTTTTTTCTTTGATTGTGAGCACAGACAGGCCTCAGGGAAAATGAGGCTGAGATTTTTCTGCCTGGGGGATGCGGAGTATCCTTATAAGCAGACCTCAGTCTTTCCTCAACTTCAAAACAGACCTGGAAATTCACTTAGGCTTCCTCGTCTGGGCACTGTTGGTGAAACTTCTTGGTGGCCACGTGAAGGCTGAGACAAGGAGAGAATCCCATGTGGCCCCCAGGGATGGCAGTAAGGGATTTCATTCCTTCAGCCTAGTCCTGTGCTGGGGGCAGGATACAGGCTAATAGCTGAGTGTTTCACCTCTGAAACAGCTGCAAGAAAGGTGGTGGGCTGGGTAGAAATCTCCCTTTGGGCTGCGTTTGACTTGTAAGACGTGCCCTTTTTTAAGGGCAGGCGTTTTTATGAATGTGTGAGACCAGAACTGACGGGCCTAGGTGAACACACTTGAAATCTGAATGCGCTGGGACCTCGTGGTTATTGCCGTGGTGTAATTATATATATTTTTTTTAATAAGTAGCTGCAAACCTGGTTTTATCAGCTGAGAGTTTCTCCGCAGTTTGGTGTGACAGCAGAGGGCAGCAGTTCCCAGCGATGGCACCCCCTGCCTAAATCTGGAGGAGGAAGCAGAGAGCAGGGGCTTCCGCTCCTCTTTTCGTGTCAGCGCTGCTCCCCGAGCTGTTTGAAAAATCTGAGGAGAGCCATGACTCACAGCAGCGACTTCCCTGTTTCCCTGCAGATTCCAGGCTGTAGGAATACCCTTCACGTTCGCTGATGAACGAACTCACCCTGAGAGAGAATCCCCATTTTTCCTGTGGGTTTTTTTTTTCTGTTTCAAATGCAGTGTCCTACCAGGTGGGAGTAGCTGAAGCTGTAGGATCTCGGGACTGTCATCCAAAAGCCTTGTTGGGTTCTGATGTGTCATCAGATGGTATAGAGCAGAACCACGTTCCTGGTGCTTTGGGGTTGCATGAAATCAATGTGGAATCTTGTTTGGAGTCTGGACATGTCCCTCGGTGTGTTGTAGGTGAGCGTCGTGTCCTAACACGAGCCTAGACGTGTATCACTTAAAGGAGGGGGTTGATTTACAGGGGAACTTGCCTCGCAGGCTTCCTTCAGAACGTGAGCCTTCCACTTGTGGAAAGGAGTTAATTTTTTGTGCATTTTTGGTGCAGTAGGACTCTTTAATGTAGGGAGGTAGTAAAAATGTCTGCCTTGAAGCTTTTTGTTTATTTGTCTTTATGACAAGAAGCCCCAGATAATTATGATTTAAGCATAGAATTGCGCAGACGTTGGTCTGATTCTGGCATTTTAGATTTTGTGGGGTGGTTACAGATCAGCCTGAGTGGTGCTGCTCGTGCTTTTATTGGTAATATTCGTTGGAGGGGTAGGGGAAACTTTCTCTGTCCTTCAAAAAGTGGCTTGCCTTATGTGAACAGAACTTGTCCAGGGCTCCCAAGATGCTGAGTTTGTGCTTTTGACATCAATATCTTATCTGTAGTTTTTTAATAGCTATAGCAAGAAGTTTCCAAGTTAGATAAAGACACATTTTTCTGCACCAGTTGCTTTTCTATTGTCCTTTGTACTGCTCAGTACTGACTGTTTCCCTTGGGGAACTGCAGAAGAGGATTCGATATAAATTTCTATTAAATTTTGATGAAACAGGCAGAAGCTTGAGCCTGGGCAACCATGAGATTATAATCCTGCAAGCCACCAAGGCTCATGCATTTTTTTTGTTTGCAGCAGCTGTTGTATCAAGAGGTCCCAGAGCCAGCAGCAGGAAGTCTGCAGTGAGGTCTGGAGAGACTGTTTTCTGCTGGTGCTGGAGTTAAAATCTGCTACTTTCTTTAGCTCTTTGAGAAGAGAAAAAAAATAAATCATTCAGTGCTTTGGTTTTTTTTGCGATACTCAAAGCGGAAGCTTTTGTGCCGTTTGCTACATCTTGCATCTCTGAAGGGGTTACGCTGCTGGCTGTGGGCAGGATACAAGGAGTTCTCACTGCTTACAGCTGTGGGTACTTTGCTGTGAGGGCAGTAGGTGAGGACCAGAGGGCTGCTTTTTCCTTGGAATAGCGAGAGGTTTGTCTTTTGCGCGACCCCAAGGTCTGCGAATGCTCTGAATGCCAAAGGCTGACTTCCTTGCCTGGGGAAGCAGCTGGCAAATTCTTGGTTGCAAAGGCCGATGCACGGTGGTTGTGTGTGTGTGTGTGTACGTGTTTCTGGACTGAAAGAACTGAAATGAGAGAGCTGTCTCTGTTGCTTCCCTTGCTAAATGGTTTGGGGCTACTTTTGAGTGTTGCTCTTTTGAAAGCTTGAGAAGAATTTAGATCAGTATTTAAGCTCTGATAGTTTCAGGGCACACATTTCAACAGTCTGCTCATTGTAGCTCTCAATAGAAGATCATTTAGCCCTGATCTCATGTTGCAGAACAATTTATTTTCTCCTGTAAGAAGATGGTAGAATCTCACTTGCATTGCTGGAGTAGCTTGAAAGAAATCTCCAGCTACAGGGATGTGCTAGAAAAATGAAAGACCTTCCTCTTTAAACTATCAACTCCCCTACAGGTTATTGTTGCACTTAATGTCCATTTTGATTAGTCTCTGCTTGTATTAGTTGCTAATGCCGCATTTCAGGTTCAGAGTACTACAAATTACCAAGTAAAGAATTAAATTTACTGCCTTTTAATTTTCTAAAATACGTGATTTAGTATTATCTTGTAAAAAACCAAAGCTGTTGAATCCTGGAACTAGGAACAACCTTTAACTGATCTCTCTGTTTTCCAGTTGTAACTTTCCTGGCTGCTTTTCATTCCTCCCTGGTGTTAAACAGATGAGGAGCAGCAGGTGACTGTCACCCCAGTGGCTGTCATTGTGAGTAGGGGGAGCAATTTGCGCAGGTGGTTCAGCCTCTAAATGTGGAACTTCAAGTAATTTCTCACTGGCAGAGGGGGTTTAAGCTCCTTTGAAGCCTCTGGTTTATCAGCTTGCCTCACGATGTGGGCCATGTGGTTGCATTAATAGGGAGTTGCATCCCTGGTGCCAGGGTTTATCCGTTGAAAAACGTGATTGCTGTGTGCTGAGGTGGGTTTTCAGTTTGGCAGTCGAAACTGCTCTGGCCCTTGGCTTTCTTTAAACTGCTGCTGAGCTCAGTGCATCAAAATGGTTCTTCCTCTGCTCCTTCCGTGAAAATCAACTTTGTGTCCTTCCAGGAGCGCAGCAGAACGGAGCTCACGTGTGTGGAGCTGTCACCCAGCCCCGTGGTGTCAGTCACAGCCAGTGTGACAACGTGAAAGAGCAAAATCAGGTTGTTGAATGCCAGCGGGAGTCGATTGTGGTTTGAAAGACCTTCCTGTCCTGTCCCTTTGGATTCCCACAAGGCTGTTTTCTCCAGGAGCACCAGTTTTGGGGATCCAGAAAGACTCCCAGCAGACTGGGCGCGATGGCCGTGGAGCTGTCACCCAGCCCCATGGTGTCAGGCACAGCCAGTGGGACAACGTGAAAGAGCAAAATCAGGTCGTTGAATGCCAGCGGGAGTCGATTGTAGTTTGAAAGACCTTCCTGTCCCGTCCCTTTGGATTCCCACAAGGCTGTTTTCTCCAGGAGCACCAGTTTTGGGAATCCAGAAAGACTCCCAGCAGACTGGGCGCGATGGCCAGGGCACTGTGGTCCCCAGTCCTCACCGCCAGTAGGTGGCAAATAGCTCACTTCTCAGAGACAATTGCTCCTGATCCATGGTGGACTTGGAGATTAGATACTGAATTAACCCTTGAGCTTTTTTTCTTGAGCTTTTCACTGTGCTCACACACTCTGACCCTCTTTCTTTCAGCGCTCTCGCACGTCTGGCAGGTGTTCCTGTGATGTCATTTTTGGCTTCCCACCACAGCTGGGGCCAGAATTGTCGTAGAAGCTGCATGGCCGCTGGCAGCGTGCTGGGCCTGGATCCATGTAGAAATGTTGCAGGAAGAGCTTTCAAGATCTTCTCTCCATGTCTGCCCTGTGAGCTCCTTTCTGCTGTCTAGATGCCGGGATAAGTGAGTGCAAAGATCCAGCCAGTATTTCCTTGCACTCTGTGTGTCTTCCTCCTGCCCAGCAGCTGATAAGTGCTGAAGGCATCATTCTTACTGCTATGTCAGAAATTGCCAGACCACAGAGCCCTGGACCTGAATCCTTTGTAGCTGAGGAGCTGGGGGTTTACCGTGGACCCCCCAACAGCTAAATCCTTCTCCAGTGAACTGGTTACTTCAATATTTGAAGGCTGAGCAGATGGGTGAGATTTTTGCTGAGTTTGACTGAAGCTCATCTGTGCAGGTTGAGCTCAGTAATCTTTATCTGCTTCTTAAATGCCTGTTCCCTGATTAATTCAGGCTGCTTTTGAAAGTATTCTTTCAGTATTTGCCTGATTAAAGCTTGCTGTTGCTTTGAAACTCGGTGCTGGGGTGCCCACATTTGGTGCAGGTCCTGCACAGTGGTCTCACTGGGAGACCACTCGTTTCTCAGCCTAAATTCACAGTCATGAAAATCACCTGACTTACGGTGGTCTTTTTGTCTTGATCCAAGAGACAGATGATGACCCAATTCCATGGATAGCATTTGCTTTTTCATTGCTTTTATCAAGGCGTTTAGTCCAGAGGTATATACAAAGGAGCAGAAAGCTCTCTGATGTGTTCAAAGTCCTTGAAGGCGTTAGAGATGTAAAGAGGGAAAATCCTTAGCTTTCCTACCGAACTTTCTGCCCGTGTTGCTTTTTAAAAAAGTTTTGTTATTCCCCTCTTGGGAATATGAAAACTGAGGAGTTGATGACATCCACTGATTCACCAGGGCTTCTGGATCTCATGGTTCAGGATCCAACCTTCACTCGTGAGTTACATGTTCCACATAAAACTGGGAAGGGCCAGGTTCCAAAC